TAAATAAAAAAAAAAACAATTAGATTGTCAATGTTTTAATTTTTTATAAAATATATATAAATGAGGGATTGTTTATAATTTACATTTTATAAATTATATGACCCGATAGCCAACAAAGAATAGTAAACACCAACTACAATTCAGAATATATATATATATATATATATAAATATATATATATATATATATATATATATTTATATATATGTTTCGTTAAAACGACAGACAAGGTACTACAGTTGAGCTTTTTTATTTAATTTTTCTTGTGTTCTGACAAGAGCTTTCTTTTCTGGACAAAAAGTGTGTAAGAACTGTCCGAATGTTCTGTGTTTCCGAGCGCTTTCGGCTATACCTTTAGCCATTATCAAGGATGGTTCAATTATCAGATTAGTAGAGATTTGTGTGTTCTATGTATGTTCAGTGTGTGGTAGTGATGTTTTAGTTTCCGAATACGGTTAGCACATTGTGGCTTTGTTCATAGTTGATATTGTTAAGAGTTGGCTTTTTTTTTATTATTAGAGCTTCCATTATTTTTAAACGTTTTTTTTTGCAAGTGGATGCAGTTAATATATTAGTGTTTTCTACTAGTATGTTCCTAATAGTGTCGGGTAAATCTGAGTGTGTGTTTAAATGTGTTCTGATGGAACTGTGATCAGATAGGTGTAATGTAAGACGTCTGGATAAACATGTGGTTGTGTAGCCGATGTAATTATTTATGAGTCCGGTTTGGTGAGGAACGCAGTTCCTTAAAAACATTTGAACTCATAGATAATGTTCGTTCTTTTAATTTTGACTTCGTTGGTGTGTTGTTATTTTTGAGGATAAGGTTGGCCGTCTTAAATTTTTTATAATAGATAATAAGTTTGATTTTTTTTTCGGGTCAATAGGAGTAGTATATTTCTTTATAATATGTCTTAGACAGATTCATCTTGCATAATTAATATGCATTTGGTTTTTGTAATAAATGTGTATGTGATTTTTTAGAAAATAAAATTCGCTATCATTATTACTTGCTTTGGGGAGGAATATTCTAATTTGTTGGTCTATACATAAAGTTTGAATAACCGTTGTTAGCCAGTGTTTGTTTAACGTTGTTAAGTTCTTTGAGAAAAAGTAGTCGAGAGGATGAGTTCTGGTGGGCTCTATTTAGAAACAGCATAGGGTTAGGCTAAAAAGGGTTAGGGATGGAGTTCCATAAAATAAAAAAAAAAAGGATTTTATCGATAGTTTTGTCACGTCCTCATTATCACTAGGGACGTTATTGAATATATTTCCCTGTGTTCACTTTGATATCTTATACCTTGATTTATATCCTTAAAAATTACCATCCATCAAAAACCAACGCAAAAAAAAAAAAAATTATTTTTTCATCACACGATAAAGTCCCTTCTATGACCATAAATGTAAATATTTATACCCAAACTAATGGTGTTTTATGGGAAATCCATTGGGACCTGTGCTTTTCCAACTATTATATGTCCCACGTAGAAAATGTTATATTTACACAAGGTCCATAAACCGAAAATCTATGTTCGCTATGTAGATGATATATTCATTTTAGAGATAACATTAAAGAAATAGAGACTACTTAAGACCACATTTGAAAAAAACTCCGTCCTTAATTTTTATATGAACTTTTTCAAAAAACAAACTACCATTCTTGTATATCCTCGTTGAAAATAATATATAACACTTTCATTATATCATTATATAAAAAACCCACCAGCAAAAACTATATATATGCCACCTTAATTTCAAAAGTGAATGTCTACTTAGATACAAAATATTTGTAATAAAAAATTTCATATAAATAGATACCAGAACTCATCCTATTGACTCCTATTTCTTGAAAGAACTTAACAACGTTAAACAAATACTAATTAACAATGGTTTCCCTATACCTTATAGACCAACAATTTAGAATATTCCTCCCAAAGCAAATAATAATGATAGCGAACACACAACTAAAAAATCACATAAATATTTATTACAAAAACCAAATGCATATTAATTACAAACAAGATGAATCTTCTCTAAGACATATTATAAAAAATATATTACTCCCTATTGACCCCGAAAAAAAAATCAAACTTATTATCTATTATAAAAAATTTAAGACAGCCAACCTTATCCTCAAAAATAACAACACACCAACGAAGTCAAAATTACAAAAGAACGAACATTATCTATGAGTTCAAATGCCCTTTAAGGAACTGCGTTCCTTGAAAAACCGGATTCATAAATAATTACATCGGCTACACAACCACATGTTTATCCAGACGTCTTACATTACACCTATCTGATCACAGTTCCATCAGAACACATTTAAACACACACTCAAATTTACCTGACAGATTATTAGAAACATACTAGTAGAAAACACAAATATATTAACTGCATCCACTTGCAAAAAAAAAGACTAAAAATAATGGAAGCTCTAATAATAAAAAAGAAAAAGCCAACTCTTAACAATATTAACTATGAACAAAGCCACAATGTGCTAACCGTATTCGGAAATTAAAACATCACTACCACACACTGAACATACATAGAAACACACTCAACTAAGCTGATAATTGAACCATCCTTGATAATGGCTAAAGGTATAGCATTGAAAGCGCTCGGAAACACAGAACATTCGGACAGTTCTTACACACTCTTTGTCCAGAAAAGAAAGCTCTTGTCAGAACACAAGAAAAATTAAATAAAAAGCTCAACTGTAGTACCTTGTCTGTCGTTTTTTAATGAAACATGCATAAAGGAAGGATTGCTGCCTAAATATACAAATATATATATATATATATATATATATATATATATATATATATATATATGTATATGTATATATATATATATATATATATATATATATATATATATATATATATATGTATATACAGAAATATATATATATATATATATATATATATATATATATATATAATATAATATATTATAAGTAAAAAATAACTTCATCAATTCACAATGAACATCATGGAAGATATTTTTGAATATCGGATCTAGGTAAGTTTGCTTGAAATCAATTGCTCGAAAATAATTTCTCGAACTATCAATTGTTCGAAATTCAATTGATCGAAGAAAATTTCGATCCTATTTTAGCACCATGTTGGATTCACCGTCTCGATACGTCAACAGAGCTGGATATAAAGGAACACACAATTTCAAATTTAATATGATCCTGGTTGTTTTTCTTCTAAATATTTTTATTTTTTATTTGAGTAATTTTCAGATCTCGAAAAATAGTGATGTACATAACATATTGTTGAGAGCGAAAAAGAATAGACCACCAATGTTTGGATGCAGAATCAATATTTTAAGGACAAACAGTGAACAATAATATTTACTTATTGAATAAAATGTTAAAAAAAGGACCCAAATTTATGGTTTTTTTTCATTAAAAATAAATATCCGTATAGTAATAGAGTATAGACTATTAGTTTGACACACTCCTATATATTCGTTTCATCTATGGTCACATGGTCTACTTAATTCAATTATGGCAACTGGATAATTGTTTGTGATCAATGGCGATCTATGTTCAAACTCAAGTGTCGGCAGCGACATTCTTTTATTAAATTTATAACAGTGAAACAATAAAAAGTGGGATGGTATAAAAACGCTATTATTTTTTAATGTTCCCAAATATATAAGCCATTTTCGAATTACTTCTACCTCTATACTAAGCAGTCTGTAAGTTATTTCTCATTCAAAGGAGAAAAAAATTATATTTTGAAAATGATGTTTTTACTGAATTCTCATCTGCATAGCGTCTAACCTAACATCATCAAAACAAAAGAAAATGTCTAGCACGACACAAGAATCCATTTTTGTCAGCATCAGACCTAGCAATGAACTCAATATAATCTTTCGACTTTCTTTTGTCAGCCGAGAATGTTAGTCCGAGAAGCCGCACTCTGATGTAGGTTAGTACAAGCCATGATGATGGGAGGCTGCATAGGAACTCTCAGGTAATTAATCTAGAAAAGTTTCGTTTTCGAGTCGTTGAAATTTACATGCCATTTTTTTTAACAACTGACTGTAAGTCAATTTGAATTCTCTCGAAATATTCCGACTTACTATCGAGAGATGAATAAATGGTTGTGCCATCAGCTTAGATACCAAGTTGTGAGCTGATGTCATCAAGAACGTCATTGATGTACATTGAGAACAAAGTATGTCCAAGAATAGAGCTCTGGAGACACCTACATTAGTATAAAATCTAGAAGGGTTGCCGTTCAGGTCAACTTTCATTCTGCTACTTGATAGAAAAGATGAAACATTAAGAATACGTTCGGAAATGCCATCAGCTTTGAACTTGAGAAGAAGGCCGTTATGACAAACCCTGTCAAATGCTTTTGAGGTGTCCAAAGCTAAAATCTGATCTTCACTAGTCTTATCTGAAGCTTGACATATTCTGTCAGCAATTATCATTAGTACATCAGCAGCAGACCTACAGAAGCAACAGCCATATTATTTGTCTGAAATAAGACTCTACAATGTGAGATGCTTAACCAATTCATGTTAATTACGTCCTCTACCAGATTTCCAAGGAAATGTAGAAGTTTAATATGCCGATATTTCGAAGCTGGTAGAAATATGGGTCTTCATAAGGTTGCTGAGAATACCATGGATTGAAAACGTTACCAACAACGACATTTTAGAAAAATGAAAACAAAATGCGTACCTATACTTAATAAAAAAGTGGGTTAACAAGTTACTTCTTGCTAAACACTGTTTATTATTTGTCTTTCTTTCATGTTTTGCGAGCGAATACACCATTTCAGTTTTACCTTCTGTTGCAAAACCAATGTTCGTTCATTTTATTTTCATCTGATGCTGTCTTTTTCAACTTGTTTCATATTTCTTTCTGATAACTTTTAGCAATCATCTTTCTTCTTTCCTTCTTTATTTTCTTCTTTGTCGCTTGGTATTCATTTTATTCACCAATCTGAATGGCCATCTGGATTGATAAGGAAACAATGACGTCACGACAACTGACATGCCATAATGGATTCCGTTATTTTACGTCACTTACGGCCCTTTTCAAAAGCTGTTCAGTGATTGACAATCTTGATGGAAGATGCATTCAAAACTTGAAGAAAGTAATTACATTAAATAAAATGCAACAAAAATAAATTTATTTAAATTAAACTGCGACTTAAAAATGTAATTCCGCACTGAGAAATAGCTGATACAAAAGTAGGAGAGGCTGTTCACTCGGAACCATATTCATGCGTCATGTGATAAACCGCTTTATCTTGTGATTATTACGCGCTAGAGTAATCTCCCTTGGGAGACTTGCAGCTGCTGGGAAATTGTTAATGTCAATCATAAGATCCTGACAACAGAAACAGAAGAGATAATCAACTGGAACCGCCTTTCAACGATAGAACAAATCGTATCCATTTGCATTTTTTTATTATCTGGTTTGTATATGTGTGTGTCTGTGTGTTTATCATTAATATTTGTTTCGTCCATATATAATACGCCATTGCTACTTTTTCATTTGTTTTTAATTCGTCATATCATCATTTTTAAACAAATATGTTTTTATCTGTTTATTTTCTGCTTGTTTTTATTCTTTTTCCTTTATTTTTTCTTTCCTCCTTTCTATAGTTCTCTCTTTCTTCCGATTTCAATCTTTTTTAGTTTTATTTTTTGTTTCCTTCTTTGTCTTTAATTATTTATTTTCTTTCTTTACTTCCTTTTACTTTCTTTTTTTAAGTTTTCATTCATTTTCCCTTTTAATTCTCTCGCTCTCTCTCTCTTCCTTTACTTTTTCTTTTGATTCTCTGTTTTGTATTTATAAATTTATACGCTTTTACATTATTAATTTCCTTTTACTTTCGTTCTCGATTTTTTCTTTATTTAATTCATTTCTTTACCTTTCATTCAATTTTTCTTTCTTCCGTTTTCCTTTGTTATTGCTTTTCTTTTTTTCGTTCCTTTCCCTTTGACTCTCTATTTTCTTTCTTCCTTTCTTTCTTTCTTTCTTAATATAATTTAACTGTTTCTTTTTCATTTTAATTTAGTACTTCAGTTCGCCCTTCTTTATTGTGTTTTTTCATCTTTCGTTATGTTTCTTTTCTTTTTGTTCTTGCTTTTCTCGTTTATTCATTTCATTTTTCTTTCTTTCCTTCATTGATTGTATTTGATTCACCAAAAAATATTTTCTGCATTTACTCCTTATTTCTTTTCTTTTCCTTTCCCACCATTTATTCCTTATTTCTTTACTTTTCCTTTCCCGCCATTTATTCCTTATTTCTTTACTTTTCCTTTTCGCCATTTATTCCTTATTTCTTTTCTTTTCCTTTCCCGCCATTTATTCCTTATTTCTGTTCTTTTCCTTTCCCACCATTTATTCCTTATTTCTTTACTTTTCCTTTCCCGCCATTTATTCCTTATTTCTTTTCTTTTTCTTTTCCCGCCATTTATTCCTTATTTCTTTACTTTTCCTTTTCGCCATTTATTCCTTATTTCTTTTCTTTTCCTTTCCCGCTATTTCCTTCAAATATGTTTATGTTCTTTCTTTCTATGAACTTTATTGTTATGAGTTTTCATATTTTTCATTTCTGGTTTTCTACTTGTCTTTTTTTGTGTGGCGTCTTCCACTGGCCTTGCAACATTCATGCTCTTTCTCTCTTGCTTCATTCACAGATATATATTTTATTTTGTGTTCCCTAGAAATTGTTCTTGGTTCTTGTTAGGTTTATGTTTTACCCTTTCACTTTCTAAAATGAAATGTTTAACTGCTTCAGTTTAGTATTTCATTTTCATCTCCTTCACATTACATCTTTCTTTATATGCAATATTCTCTTTCGTGTTAATATATTTCTTTTTATATTCTGTCTTATTTCTGTGTTTGTTTCATTCTTGCTCATACTTCAACTTGAAGATTAAATTATTTATTAATTGTTCTTTTAGTTTTTCATAACTGTTTTCATATTTTTTCTGGGTTTATATTTTCCCTCTTTGTTCATCATATTTTCTTAGTGTGCTCAAGAGACTTGCAATTTTAATCATTAAAATATTTTTATCGTCGAAATATTTATACGCAGAAGACTTTGCACAGGCATCAACTGTTACATAAAAATCAAGTAATGTTCATATGTACAGAAATTAGTTGTTCTAAGACACAGAGCGTACTCAGGAATCCACGAAGGTACCAAACACACTGGCACTTTTTATCTTCCTCAGTTCACTCTTTCCCTCCACTCTCTCCCTCCTCCGTGTGCAAATATATATATATATATATATATATATATATATATATATATATATATAGAGAGAGAGAGAGAGAGAGAGAGAGAGAGAGAGTGTGTGTGCGTGCGTGTGTTTTCCAATTATTAATTAGAGAATATCAAACATTTAAAATCCCTTAGGTAATAATTTTTATTTCATATAGAGTTTTAAAAAACAGCTCTCAATCTTGAAATCAAATTTATTAGGAATTTTCTGTAGGTCTTGAATATTCTTTAATTAATAATAGTTCTGCTCTGTCTTTGCATATCCTACTGGCAATTCCATACTGATTACCATATTGTATCATTACTATATATATATATATATATATATGCACTTAGACGTGCTGTAATGGCTATCAAGCTTGTCTCGCTAGAACATTTAAAATCTTTACTGGGTGCCCTATATTTTCGGCCTTTGCCACATCTTAGCTACACTTTAAAATCACTTTATATATATATATATATATATATATATATATATATATATATATATATATATATATATATATATATATATATGGAAAAACAAAACTCCTTATATATAATTATGCTGTTTTAATGTTAATATGTCATTAAAACAGCATAATTGTATATAAGGATTTTTGTTTTTTTTTTTCCGTATATATTTTTCTTCATACTGTCGGATCTATATCCATATATTTATATATATATATATATATATATATATATATATATATATATATATATATATATATATATATATATATATATATATGTATACTATATATGTAATGTAATCAAAAATCAATTAAGGAAAGCTAGAACATTTACGATATTTCTGGGTGCCCTATATTTTTATTGTGCCGAATCTTTTATTAAACTTGTAAAATGTTTTATAAATATATATATATATATTATATATATATATATATATATATAACATGGAATATATATATATATATATATATATAGGTTCCTTGAATCTGTTTTAAACATATTTGAATTTCTCTAGAACATTTTTGTTTGAGTAGTGAAATTTAAATACTCACAAAATATGCCCCATAATTTTTGAATAATTGAATTTTGAATACTTAAATACATTTTAGGACAATATAAAATTAAAAGGAGGCAACAAAACGCAGCGTTTATAGTTATTAAACGGATTTATATAGTTGAATTGATGGCAATACATTAAAATAAAAATAGGATTAGTTGTGCATTTTTGAAGCGTTAAAAAAATCTATTTTTGAGAGAGCCTTTCAGTGTATCATCCAGAATTTACAATGAAATTTAAATATAGAATATTATATAATTTCGTTTTAATTATTTATCTCTGACGTTGAGCGCAGTTACCACCAACAAAAAAAGGCTAAAACGAATTTTCTTTGTGGTTAGGGTAAAAGTGCGTTTAAAAGGTCGTCGTCTTGTCTGCATGAAATTTTAAATCTAGAACTTTTATATTTCGTTTATAATTTTACAAGATTATCAAATTAATTGTATGATATTTTTCTGCGGATATTATCACAAATGCCTTGTCAGTGTGATCTGAAAGCTATTTTTTGCCTAATTTTTTAATTTAACATAGGTTTTTCGATTATTAGTGTGGATACATGTAATTTTTGGTGTAGAAAATTAATGATGTATCATCTTTTGTGATCGCATCCTAATTGACAATGCGACTCCTATAAAGGAAATATAATCAACAATTAACATTATATAGAAAATGTTATCAACTTGTTAATTTCAAAAATTAAAGAGAAATATATACCTTAATGACGATTTGTAAAAATACCGTTGTTCACATTTCGCATAGTCGGATTTAGTCCCTACATTATAATCTTAACTTACTAGTTATAAATATAAGGATAATAAAGATATAAAAAAATTTTTTTACATATATAAAACATTATTTTGAAAAAATTCTGCCATCATCGCATTTAAATGATTCATATGTTCAATTTTTCAAATATTACAATTGCGGGCTTATGAAAATGTATTCTAGAATATATTAACTCTGTAGAAAAAGAGTGACTACTAGTGAAAATAATGATTTTGATAAGAGTATTCATCGCTATCATGACAACACGTATTTCCGAGGAAGATCGAAGGATGGATGAATTTATTAAAAAAACAGAACAGGATTTTGTTTGTCATATTTATTTTTTTTGATGGGCGCAACGATTTCCCTAGTTAACGCGCGGAAGAAATGAATAAATTACATGAAACAAAAGGGTCCAAAAAAGCAAAGGATTATAATGAATTGTTTTTAAATTTTAAGTTGACAAAAACGACAATAAATGTAACACCTGATCATGACGACGATTATTCAAAAAATTCTGAAAATATTTTTGTTATATACGAATAATATTAATTTATGAAAAAAATGTATAAGAAAAATCATTATCAATTTGCTACTAATTTTTAATTGTCATATCTAAATAAATGACAAATTCTGTCTCTGATCGCACTTTTCCTATACATATATATTATACCTATATACCTATATAGATATATCATACCTATATACCTATATATAAATATTTGTATATGAATATATAGATATAATATTTCTATGTATATATAGATATATTATACATATTGTTATATATTATACCTATATATTAATATATTTAATTACATAATTTATATAGATATATTAAATTCTATGAATGATATTTTGAAACCCATTCAATACCTATATAAAGATATTATACAAAATCTATATATATATATAAATATATATATATATATATATATATATAATTATTATATATATATATATAAATTAAATATAAATATATTAAATATTATATCCTATTAATATATAGATATATTATAATTATATACCTATATACATATATAGAAATATTAAATAATTGTATATAATAATAAATATATTATACATATATATCTATATACATATATAGATATATATAAATATATATATATATATATATATATATATATTTATGTTATTTAAAGAGAGAAAAGATAGAGCTTGAAATGAGAAAGATTATAAAAATATATGGACATATATTATATGAATGGAATATACACATATAGATATATTATAGCTATTATGGAAACAGGATGAGCCCGGTATTGAAATTATAAAATTTCACTTTTTTATGTACCAAATTATGGTGCAAGACAAAAATTGACCGACAGAAAAAGAAATATTCCATAATTTTACTTTCAAATATATGAGCATTTTCTAAAGAAATAACCAGTTCTAATTTGAAAATACCACTGGATACAATAATTCTGTTTTCTGTCTTGTAATGATATTTATTGCAATATTGAACAACTGCCATTTGTTTCTTGGGAACACATCTTATATTTTACAACTTTTAAAAGGAAAATTAAAATTTGAAAACTGCAGACATTACATTGTCAAATATATTTCTCAAAAATGCTGTTTGCTTCATTTCCCTAAGGTAACACAAGAACCGACACTAAATTATTTGGAGTTATCTTAAAATGTTTTTTATAAAGTGTTTATATAATTTCATTTTATAATACTCATTAAGACTTAATATTAAATATTCACTCTTTTTTGTAACCTATGGAAGGTTGGAATAGAATAATCATATGAAGGTTCGTAATGAACGATAATAATTAGTACAAGAACAACACATATAAGATTTGACAGTGGTGCGTAGAATAGTCAACTACTAAAAGTGAGTCTAGTGAATTCCACAGTGTATCTCTAACTGCAGACGAACACCTTACGGTATTCACTGCTGTATTTATAGGAATGGAGCATACCCATTATTGTTCATAGGTATACAACACTTTTCAGGTTGTAAACATATGTCCAGAAATCTATATTGAAAAGTAAAATATATTCTGAGGAATATCTACCAGGTAATCTTTATTTTTAATGACCCATCTTTTTACGTATAAAGAAATGATTAACTCACAACCTTTCTGTGCTATTTTTTTTTTATTCCTGCCAATATAAATTGACATTAATCTAAATAAATGAACGGCAAATTCTGTCTGTCCAGAATAAATAAAAAGAATAATGAAACCTGAAAGAGGAAATGGGTTAGAATTTAATATATATAAAGAATTAAAATATATTTTTTGGAATCAGGACAAATCCCTGGATTGAAAACATGCCCTTCATCTGGTACTTGAAAATACAGCATTGACATTTGTCTCTAGACGGGGAGTGAATAGTTAAAAATTCAAATCTTCCTTTTCTTCTAAATAAATAAAGAAATTTATCTCTCTGCCCGTCCGTGTGTTAAAAATTAAAATAATAGAAGGGAATAAATAAAACATAGACATATTTTAACATTTTTGGTATCAGGATGAATGATGGGATTGAAAAAA